TTTTAAAATTCTTTCACAGTTACAAAGATATATTATACCTGAGTACTATAAGCTATATAACATCTCACTACAACCAATAGAAGCAGAGCAGCAATGAAAAACGTGGCAAAAATTATTTATTTTGAGTAATTACGCTGCGTGCCAAAAAATATATGTATGAACAAATTCTTCTCTTTTAAAAGTTCTATAAAAAAAAGCCCGGTGACGTCTGTAATCGCTGATACATTGGCATACTGAAGGCCTAAGATGCCATGCCTCTTGTCTTATAATTTGCCTTTTCTGATCCTATAACCAAAATCTTATACAGCAAACTGTTAAAATAGGTGAGACTAAAGTACCCACGCAGAAAACTTTTCAAGAAGTCTACCTTTGTAAGTAGATTATTAATTTGTTATAACTTAACTAAAATTCATAAAAAAATGACAATCCATACTAATATTACAAATGGGAAGTCTGTCTGTCTATTATTTGTCGTTTCACTGCTAAACGGCAGAACAGATACCAAATAAAGTAAAATCAAAATATCTTTATTCATGTAGGTCTATTACAGACTCTTAAGATATGTCAAATACTACCATCAGTTAGATATCAAAAGATGCTTTCGAGATGAAACAAAACTGAAGAGAAACTCGGCTCGTATTCTTTTAAATATGGTTGTACATGTTTACAATAATACATGTCTAAATTCAAATTCAGAGCATAGAGACCACCAGCATTTCCTATAGCAATTTTGTCAAAAGCAAATAGTCTAATCAGTGTTCGTTACCCGAATAGATATTAATGTAATTTAATCAGTATAGATTGCATCATTAGGACGGACATTGTGCCATATAATATAGAAATACCAAATGCTTTCACCTTGACCCTATCCAGAAATTCCAAATAAGAAACGCACAGTGGGCGAAAGCGCTCAACGTCGGCCAAAACTCATTCAAAAGTAACATTCCGTCATAGCCCTTCTCTGTCCGCCGGTGACTTTAAGACTTTTTTTTCCAACGATTATATCCAACGGGCGGTCAATTAAAATGACTCTTAAACACCAGTGGCCAGGAATGCTGGCCCTAAACTGAATTTGTCCTGCGTCCATTGTATTCGCGGTGGCAAAAAAACCCGCCCAGCATCCGACAAAGAAGCGGTGTTTTTGTCTCCGGATATTTCATAAGTGTATTGTGATTAGAAATTTTTGAGCTATCCGCAGCATAATGACTTAAGTTTTAGGCATGTTCTTAATTTGAAAATTTTGAGGCGACAAGAATTATGTTTTTTTGTTCAGATTGCAGGACGATTGTGAACACTGTTCGTGTCGAGATTATTATTTTAAACGTTGTTGTAAATATTATTTGTCGCTTCAAAATTATTGCAACGTCTTCAAATGCCATGAAAATATGCTTTCAACTAATAAACATCTATATATATGCTTGTAGGGACTGGTCTGCTCTAATCACTATGACTTTTTAATCGTTTTGTACTAGCTGTACTTGCGAATTCGTCCGCGTGGAATTTAACTTTACTAAGTTACTCCTTATCACATAAGCTACCTGCCAAAAGAAGTCCCGCCAAAATCGGTCCAGCCATCTTAGAGATTAGCCGGAACTAACAGACAGACAGACAGACAAAAATTGTAAAAAATGTTAATTTGTTGTGTGTACTGTATTTATATTCATATGCATGTAGTAAAAAACGGTTATTTCAATATTACAAACAGACACTCCAATTTTATTTACATGTATAGATTTAATATCTGATCCTAATAAATTAGTAAAAGTCGCTGGTTTGTATTCGCACGTTTCGAAATGTAAATACAAACTTACAATGATTATTTAAAAGAGCAACACGCAAGTTTCTTACTCGTTCTTCTAGTGATGAGACAGCTTTCCGAATGAGCGGTAGATTAAAACAGCTATGACTATTCAAAAGTTCTTAAATTAAGTTTAATTGAATAAATGATTTTCTATTCTATTCTATATAAAACCTAAATTCATTTCATTGTTTGTTTGATTGTTGGTATTTTATGTTGTAGTAATTAACTTACAATAGTTAATAACGATGTAAACTTCATATTTTTAGTTCACTTCGTGTTTGATTTCTTCGATCGACTATTTTACTCTTATTTAGTTCTCAATCATTTGGTTGTATATTTAATATTTTCTTTATTTGAATATTCAAATGAATTAGTGCTACTTGGTAGCTTGTATCACACACTTCAACTTAAACATGTAAAGTAACAACAAAATTATTTAAAAGAGCAACACGCAAGTTTCTTGCTCGTACATCTTGTGATGAGACAATATTCCGAATGAGCTGTAGATTAAAAAAAAGGTGATGACTATTCAAAACTGCTTCAATGTAAGTTTATTTGTATAAATGATTTTCTATTGTATTCTATTTGTCCTCTGGGTATCTTTCTCTTACTAATTTTCGCCGTCAAGCAGTTTGACATGGCAGTAAAATAAATGGGGTACGAAGGTATGACATTTACCCTTCGGAATGGCAAAGCAAGGTTGAAATAGTAGACGTCACAAAATAAAAATACTTATTTAATTACATAGAGTTCTCTAGATACGATTGTCGTTTGTTTTTCTCTTCAATACATCGAACTGATTGATAAAAATTTGTTAAAAAAATGTATATTCACAATTTCGTTTTTTTTAAAGGTTTCAACATCCACGCACGTCGTGAGATATACATATGATAACGTGATATCCGTGATACTGTAGTATATAGGCGATTGTTATGTCCAATCGTCATGTGAACAGTCAGACTGATTGCCATTCGAGTTCCATAAGTGGAATGACAAACTATCTGACGGTAACGGTCACTCATATGATGAACAACATGGAAATTACCGAACTCATTGTCTGAGAGTTTGTGCGCACTAATCTCGGAAACGGCTTAACCGATTTACATTTAGTTTTCACTATTATATAGTGGAAAGCTTACCTAATATTCTGTGTTTGCTTTGTTCCAATCAAACCAAAAAGTTATATAATTTCTTGAAGAAAAATTTTAATTTTTTTTTCCTCGATTTTTCCCACCTCAGGGAAAGGCATAAGAACTCAACCCATACAGCGATTGTCTTTGGTATTAATAATTTTCACTATTTCGATATGAAATAAATGAGTTACACCATTGGAACTGATCATTTTATTATTCAACATGAACAAACGTTCCGTTTCACCCTTTTATTTTCGGCACAACGCGACCAATGATAAAAAAATATGTTTAAAATTCGAACGCAACCAAACGGCGCCGACAAAGCGGCCGGCGCGGGCGTCGCCATCTTATCTATATATCTATATTTATAATGTGCACGAAACATATTCAGGAATGCTGCTATATGTCATAGATGTTGAATCGTTTATATGAGTGTTTTATTTGGTGTTCTTTACACGTCATTACTAAGTATGCTACATTTTGGTACATATATTTTAAAGGTCAGTTCATTGTGCGTGAGTAGTAGACATATAGTAAAATATGACTATGTTCCAACATAGGCTAGATTGTATATATACAAACATATATTAATAATAAAAATAACCTAAGGCAATTAACACAGCGCCATCTAGTCCCAAGCTAAGCAGAGCTTCTGTCTTAAGTACTAGACAAGTGATAAAAATACTTAAATATTTCTTTTGTAAATACATAAGTACCTAATTGTATTACAATTTATGTTCTTTTTTATGTACTTCTGGTGCAATAAAAACATAAATAATGTACTAAGATACACTAGATTGAGAATACTCATAGTCATGAATACTCGTTTGCACCGTGCGAGGAATCGAATCCGCGAACATCGAAAATAAAGCGATGTACGACACCGCTATACCACTGAGGCCTATGATTTATATGATTTTTGTATCATTCCGTGCACTAACTTTTTAGCATTCTCTAATATTTTTAGAATTTGAGGGTTCATTCTTCATACAGGTTATTCATAAGACACAGGTAACTCATTTTAAGTGATAGATAGCAATATGCACCTCTCAAAGATTACTGACAAATTACCGATTTATTATAAGTAATTACTTAGTAAATAGTGACATAATGAAAATAAACATAAATGACTATTAACATTAATCCGAGCAATCACCGGCCGTCCAGAATCGCAACGTCCATTACGGTTTTGGAAAACGAATACATCACTCTATGGTCAGCGTCAAAAAAAAACAAAAACAAAACTTAAAAAATGGAACTGTCAAAATGGTTCGCAGTAAATTTTGCCGCGCTCGCGGTCAGCGCGCCACCATTGGCCGGTGGCCAGTAGGCGTGGTCACATTCGAATAAGGAACACTCAATTTATTTATGAAGTGCATTTGAGTGTTTATGTTGTTTTTGCGGTGCTCTGTGGTATTGTATAGTGGGGGGGTGGGGGGGGGGGGGGGGAGGGGATTTGAATTGTTGATTGCGATGTCTTTGCGCGATAAAAGTCTCGGCGTGAAATATTTCGTTTAGAACTTATCGTGATGTACGATAGCTCTTGTGTAATTTAAATTAACACTTTCAAGAAAATCTTTTTATTAGCTTGCTTTGAAACAAAGGCATGTAAATGGATTGAATACAAAAGGGTAACCATGTATATTTCTATATACATAAAAATATGACCTTTTTCTAATTTACAAAAATTCTACATCTAAAATATAAAATTCTAGTGTCACGGTGTCTGCAACAAAACTCCTCCGAAATAGCTTGATCGATTATTATGAAATATTGTGTGTATCTATTTTTCATACCCCTAATGGATAAGGATGGTCCAACAAAATATTATTTAAAATTTATAGACAATTTATAATATAGCCCATATTATAAATTGTCTAAAACTTTTAAATAAAATCAGTATCCTGATTTAAATCAAATAATACATACAAAATAAATAAAACAATAATAATCATTATGCACGTGGCTTCCCTGGTGTTTCAGGCGTCCATAGACTACGGTAACCGTTCACCATCAGATGGGCCATACCCTTGTTTGCCACCATCGTAGTATAAAAAAACACTTACCAGGCTCATCAACTTTGTACGACACGTCGCAGGATCCATCCTTCCTGTCTTTAAAATCGATCTCAGCCTTGCTGGGACCTTCAAGCGATATCGCGAGCTGTCCAGCACCAGCCTCCCGGGTCCACACGTTGAACTCGTTGAAGCGACCAGCCTCCCCGCGTTCCAGACCTGAACCTCCTGCCTTTACCAAGTGAGCTCCGGAGTCTCTTAGTGGACCCACGGTGAATTGGAAAGGTGAGCCTGTAAAAGAATTATATAAAAATTCAGATAAGATAACTTGTTAATCTTAATAATATTGAGAGTATGTTTTGATGAAACTTTACAGTAAAACAGCTTATGCGTCAGAATATATATATATTTTTATTATTGAAATTAAAAGCGAGTGAAACCGTGGGTACAGCTAGTATTACATAATAATATTACATAGATTACTATTTATACAAATAAGCGTAAGCTTATATACAAGTAAGCTTTTTACTAAATGGATATAAAGCAATATACATTTTAAAAATTTGTCTGTCTGTTTGTTCTTTTGATCTTGCTACAATCTCCGAAACGGTTGGATTTTGACGGGACTTTCACTTGCAGGTAACAATCATTAGAAGGAGTAACTTAGATTACTTCTATTGTAGAAACTTTATTTAATTTAAATAAAAAAAAGATATAAATTTCAGGCAGACGAATTCGCGGGTAAGAAGAAGAAGCCAAGAAGAAAACTTATGTAATTTTTTTTCTTCTCATTACAGAAGATAAATGTGTATATGTCTTCTGGTTTCAGTTATAATAAGTACACTTTCTAGACTATATCAATCTTTTCAGTATTTATGTGTAGTCCTGGCTTCTGAACTAGCATTAGCTGTATGACAGAAGCCAGCAATCGGTATGTTATTTAATTGTTCGCCGATGAAAAAAAAAAAGAAAATTTCTGATAATCACAAATATCTTACCGGGAATATGAATCTCCCTGTACTTGACAGAAACCGTGTGTACACCCAACTCCTTGGGCACGAAATGAACTGAGTACAGTCCGTCCTCCACCTCCTGGATTTCAGCGTCCTCGGACACACCCCCCGGGCTGGTCACGGTTGCAGCCAGGTCGAAAGAAGTGATACCTGATGGTCAAAATAATTTAAATTACATTATTGCTTTGTACCTATATTAATATTTATTAATTAATATAAATTTAATGTACATAATATAAAAGTATATATAACGAACTTAACCTTGCGGCATTATATACCAGTCAGCTATAGATAAAAAAAAATATTTAGAAAAAATCTAACTTGAAATTCATAGCACTGACAATATTATCTGATTGAACAAAGATTTATTTATTTATTTATTTATTTATTTATTTATTTATTTATTTAATTATTTATTTATTTATTTATTTATTTATTTATTTATTTATTTATTTATTTATTTATTTATTTATTTATTTATTTATTTATTTATTTATTTATTTATTTATTTATTTAATTATTTATTTATTTATTTATTTATTTATTTATTAGCATACAAAACAGAATACAGTCAATATAATAATATAATTAGGAGCGTGTAGTTCGGTACAAAACTGGATTGTAATTCTGAGATTGAAGATAGTACTACAAAAATTTATAGAAATAATTCAATATTTTTAGACCATTTTTTCCATAAGCTCTGCTTCGTTTAGTACTAAATTGTGCTGTGTAAATTATCACAATCAAATTCATAATTTCATGTAGGTCTATTACAGACTCTTATGATATGTCAAATCTACCGTCAGTTCAGTTTCAGTTGATTTCGAGATGATAAGAACTGATAAGAAATTCTGCTCTTATTCTTTACCAATGAGCTCGTACATGATTACAAAAATACAGATTCATATACTGGGTCAATATTATTTATAATATGTTTAAAAAAATTGTTTCCGTCAAATTTATTGAAGTGTTTGACAGTGCATGTGAATGAAATATGGATAGTATTTGTTTGGGAAACTACTCTGCTACCAAAATGTTAGGGAATTTACTCTCTGTATATATATAGTGAAAAATGAGTGGAAGCGTCAGTCACGTACCTGTATGGTTGTGCGGATTTCTTGGGCTTCAAGGTCTCGAAGATATCTTCGCTAGCTTTCCAGTTTCACAGTAGGTTTCACAGTTCTAATTTATTTTAATTCACAACACAATGCGCGCGCGTCATGGTCGCCGTACAGTCGGTTCAGTACTAGGTAAGGGAGGGGAAGTGAAAGCGCGGGAACAGAAAACTAACGGACTCTAATATAATAATCTGTGCTTACGATGATACAGGGTAGATTTTGAACAGTATTAAAAGTAAAAAATGAAGTCTTACCAGGCATCTTGAAAGTGAGTTTGCAGTTTGTACCGACTTCGGTTAATGGGGCCGGGTCCCGTTGCCTCTGGATCTTCTCTCTCTGTCTGTTGCTACCCTCACCAGTCACCTGATAGAGACAAAATCATTATTATTATTACTATATATGAATCATTACTCTATCTACTATAAAACTTCTTAGTAATAATAAACGCAGCAGAATTCACACAATATCATAACAGCTAACCAGAGCTTGTGTTATGGATAGGTACTAGAGAACTGATATAAATACTTAAATATACTTTTTGTGTGAACAATCAATACAAATGTAGGTCAATTATAAATGTAAAGTGGTCTAGGGGTTTAGCATACCGCTTTACTTCCGATGGTTACGGCTTCGATTCGAGGTTATATATATATTATATTATTATTATTATATATATATTTGCAATTTTATTTTTGTAAGAATATTGTCAAGGCTGTACTAAATATTTCAATAAACATTATTATTATTATTTGTATTAGTTGTCTAGTACCCATAACACAAGGTCTGCTCAGCTTGGAACTAGATGGCGCTGGGTAAATTTTCCAGGGATTTTCCATTATTATTCAATAACATATTTTATATTTTGCGTGATGAATTCTTACTGTTTTTGTTTTCTTAAGTAGATTATTTTAATGTATTAGTGTACATCGCAACAAAAAATTCTATATCCATTTCTCTTATATATTGTTTTTCTAATAAAAAAAAATATAAGAATAAATGAGGGTACCGTTTGTACTACGGCACTCATTATAATATCGTATTACAAACAAATAATATGTTAGGATGGTGATGTACCTTGACAGTAAATGGTGACCCCTCTACATGGTGGTCAGCAAACTTGAGGTTGATGATGTAATAGCCAGGTTCCGTGGGCTTGTAGCTGATGGCCAGGACACCGTCCTTGCTGTCTGCACATTGAATCTCCGCCTTGCTAGGACCTGCCATAAATGATTAGCAATTTAGGTATTGTTAGGTTTCACATTGTTATTGGCGAAAAATTTCATAATTTCAAATATTAAAAGGAGGTAGTTTAATTATTACACAGTTTCGCCCCATCCCCCTCCCCCCCTCGTCTCTCTGTGTGAGTATAGAGAATTTTTGTAAGAAACGGCAGTTGGTTAACGAGCGCGGAACGTGCCGGTTGTATCTTTAAATACTAAGAAGAATTGTATTAGAGATATATTTAAATGTAATATATATCACACAACACTGTGTCTATACATGTAATATTTCAGCCAACACTCGAGACCCTTCCATTATTTTACCTCTACAAATAACATAGACTTAAGTTAAGTGTAAAGTCAGTCCTCGTCCCGACTCCACGTCGAATGCACTCGGCAATAAGGCATGTAGCACACTAAGAAATAAACTTACTAATGTACAGTAAATAATACAATTATTTCACCAGTATACTCACTACCTACACACTACAATAAACAAATATATTATGTAGCGAAACCTCATCACATCTATACATATAAATAAAATTGGAGTGTCTGTTTGTAATATTGAAATAACAGTTTTTTACTACATGCATATGAATATATGTAAATACGGTACATACATCAAAATAACATTTTTTTTAATTTTTGTCTGTCTGTCTGTCTGTTTGTTCCGGCTAATAAACTGAAATGGCTGTACCGATTTTGACGTGATTTTTTAGCAGGTAGCTGATGTAATAAGAAGTAACTTAGGCTACTTTTATTTAAAAAAATATTTTATTTTAGAAAAATAAAGTTAAATTCCACCCGGACGAAGTCGCGGGAACAGCTAGTCGTATATAAAGTTACATTGGTGAGGTGATAACTATCCCGCTACAATATTATACAACAAACATTCACAAATTCAGCCTAGTCGTGTCCGCCAGTATAGTGTATATTTGTTGTTCACATTCACTACGTTTTTGTTTCTACAGTATTAAAAATATTATAATATACCCATTTTACTTGCCAATAATGTAGCTTTTTATAGCTGCAGATGACACTCTAAACACGCGAAAGGATTTATGGAGCACCTCAAGGCCAATTTTACAAACAAAAAATCTACCCAATTATCTGTAATTTACTGTGCCAATAACCTAATCAATATACTATTCACAATGCTTCGCAGCATCTTCATCCCACATTCAAATTCTAAAATGAAATGTCTGTGATTTATCAAGTTGCCAACCCTTCAGAAACCTTAATATACTCTACAATTCTATAATACATTAAGATTTCATAAGGGACGACATGTACAATTAACTCCTGGTGTTTCAAACGTCCACGGGCTGTGGTAACAGTTTACCATCGTATGTTTACCACTGCTGTGGTATGAAATAAGTAATAGGTGATACCTTACCTTCAATAGAGAGCGATAGACCACCATATCCAGCATTCTTGGTGTCAACAGTAAACGTGTTTTCACCGTGAGTCTTGCCTTCTTTCAGCGCTGTACCTGTTACCTTAAAATAGACATATATAATTGTGAACAGATAGACAGTATATTTATTATTATGAACTATATTGATGGTACCATTATATTTTTGACGCCTACCACTCATTTGGAAAGCATACTCATCACAAGAAGAAGGAGAAAGAAACTTGCGCATGAGAACGCATCATTGCGCATAATGACGAGCGTGCATGGCAATAGTTGCTCATGCACGAGATTTTCATTTAATGTTAGACCTAGATGATAAATAAGCATTGCAATTAAACTGGCTTTTAAAAAAGTAATTCAATTGAGTTTCTTGCCAGTTCTTCCCAATTGAATCTATATACTGAACTGGACGGTAGGGAAATAATTAAAATTACATTGTAAAAAATTTCACGTTCATAAGCAGCTAAAATATCCTACATGAATAAATTATTTTTGAATTTGAATTTGATCACCATTCCATCATCATTTACCAGGGAGTAGACTGTTCAGTCATTATAAAAAAAGTCGTATTCGTGGGTCAAATATGCGTGGTGGGACGGGACATCAGGGTCCCTAAAATGCGATTGAGCGCAGTGATGGCTGGCTCACCCGTTATACTTATGAACGGGTACTTGTGAGGACTGGTCTGCTCTGTTAACTACGATTTATTTTGTTACTCAAGTAAGTATTTATCTACATTGATAGTTTATATTCACACAAAAATCCTATAAATGTAATTCTGAACAGCATTTATTTAAAAGAGCAATACGCAAGTTTCCTGATCATTCTTCTTGTGTCTGCGTTTCGAATGATTGATAATATAAAAAATATGACTATTCAAAATTGCTTATGTTACATTTATTTGAATATTTTTTTTCTATTCTATTCTTTTCATTGTGCTGTTCATGTTCATGTATATAGGCGATGGTTACTGCTGACACTCAAATGGACTATCAGCTTATTTATAGAAAAATCATCTAGAAACATATATTGACTAAAATAACGTCACTTACCTGAACTTTCTTAGCATCTCCGACTTCCTGTTCCTGTACTGTGATATTGAATGGTGAGTTCTGTATGTGGACACCCATTTTTTTCACAGAAACAATATGTTGACCTGCTTCACGGGGAGTGAAGCTGATGCCGATGTTCCCTGAAGGTAGACGCTTCAGGAAACAGGGCTCTTCGAGACCTGATGGTGCCTGGACAAAAGAACATATGTTGTTTTAGTGTCATTCTATTATGGAATCAATCGATCAATCCCCCGTCCAGTTCAAACGGGGATCGAAATTACAACGGGTTAAATTATATTTATTGAGCAAAGCCTATTATTCACTAAAAGATTGCTTTAATGACAAACGTGCATGGCAATAGTTGTTCATGCACGGGATTTTCATTTAATGTTAGACATAGACACGTACATACGTAAACAATGTAAATAAACTACATATAAAAAACTCAGTTGAGTTTTTTGTTAGTTCTTCTCAATTGAGTCTATATACAGAACAGGACGGTAGGGGAAAATATTAATTACAAAATATATGACATTCATAAGCGGCTAAAATGTTCTATATGTATTTAGTCATAATGATTTTTGGTTTGATTTGATTTGATCTGATATCAATAACATCAATATCTAATACTCAAGCATACCTGTATGGAAGCGTTGAGGCTTCGAATATCGGTGTCACTGATCTTGCCAGGCAGCGTGACTTCACTGCAACTGCCCACAGAGATCTGGTTCCTCTTGCGACCCTCGCCGGTAACCTGTGAACATATTTTTTTTACAACACTAATAACCCTAATTACCACAAAATTATTCAAGTCAAGGCTCTAGAACTATTGTGCCTACATAATATTTCTGTCAACACTCGGCTTCCATTTGTTTATATTTCCAGATAATGTTATCTGGAAATAATACCTTATATTGAAGATAGAAATCTATGTAGATTTCTATATTCAGTATAAGGTAGTAGGACTCCTTATCCAGTGTTTGCATTAATAATAGGTCCAAATAAGAATATATTTGGATAGTTTACTAATGTTTCACCTGTACACTCACTACCAAAATACTACAGGAAACAAATAAGTCAAGTAGCGACACCTCATCACATTATACATAACGCTACAGTGGTGAGATGTTACCCATCACGCTATACCATACTAAACGCTAATGTTTCGAAATAACTAGAACTTCTTAACATTCCATGGATTCCGTGCTAGTGCCGGGTCCGTTGTGTGGCAGAGAGGGAAACTCCGAGCAAGTACCCGGGTGTACTTGGGACCTGGGTGTAGGTTTAAGGGACCCCTTTGCTGACGTACATTTACACTCACTTTTATTACTTATGTTTCTCTCTCTACTCAGCCAAATCTGGTAGAAGCCTGCCAATACAGCTTTAGATACACGTTCTAGTATAAAACCTACTTCAGTTCTAGGTTGGATGGATTTCTCTGGTATACCTCTCGCTCCCCCTTTTACCCTTTTAAATTAACCAAATAGCCATTTTTCGTCATTTCATTTTTTAGTTCGTAATATTTATTTGTTCTTATAGCATGATCTTTAGGTATATTTGTTTCACATGGTACAGTGAACTGTACTAGTATTATATGTTAAGTTTAATTTATGTTATCATTATGAATGGAGAATTTCATGTACCTTTGCAATGAACGGCGATCCCTTGATATGCTTATCTCCAAACCTGATGGACACCTTGTACTCTCCAGGAGCCGTGGGAAGATACGACACAGCCACTGTACCATCTTTATTATCATGGCATGTGATCTGGAATTAGAAATTATTAATTTTTCAGCAATTTAAACATGGGGTCTTAACTTCATCATCGCAGCCCGAAAGACATCCACTGCTGGACATAGGCCTCCTCCAAAGATCTCCACGACGATCGGTCTTAACTTAGTCTAACATAATTCAAACACCAAAAACCAAATACTAATTTGATCTGAGTGGTTGCAGCCCAGTTATGAATTAGAGAATTGTTAGTAATGTAGACTGTTGACCCCATTGCTAGCACTATATCATGGTTGACCTTCACGCGGTTCCCCCTGGAAACCATCATGACAAATACTTGGAAAATTTGTCTAGATAACTAATCTGACTCATTTTATCATCTTGCACTGGTGTCCCGTAGCGTAAACCGTTAGCACAGGCGGGCGGACCATTATCAACCATAAAATATATCTCCTTTGAAAAGTATATACTCTATCCTGAGGATATAAAAACCATTGTTTCTAAGAATATTCTTCAATTCTTGTCCCTATCAGGTCAAGGTAAGGTAACTGAGGGAGAACAATAAATCTGAGTAGATCGCAGCGTTACAGGTCTAAAACAACAGGCCCCAAACACCTCAATAAAAAAGACCACTAAAAATCTTCGTGTCATTTTATATTTTTGGCGAGATGTCCGATTTTAACATCGATAACACACTAATTTTATCTGACAGATAGCGTTAGGCTCTCAAGGATTTTAAGAAGAAATGGAGGTCAAGTTACTATTTATACGATATACGAATACCTTTCTGTAGGGTAAGGAATTATTATTTTACAAGTATTTTTGTATTTTTTTCATATAATTGAAATGGCAAACAAGCTGACGTCTCATCTGAAAGCTGACTCCCGCCACCGGGCCTTTACAGCTTATGGGGTGCTGATATGTGGCGAGTGCAGATGGCACTTCAAACCTGCGGAAAGACTTATGGAGCGGCTGAAGGCTAACCCACCTGACGGATACAGTAGTAATAGATAAGACTGAGATGCCTACACTGACTCCTAAGTACAAAAAACATACAATTTCCTCTACAATATTAGACTCGAATTTCATAACAAACCTCAGCTTTGCTGGGTCCCTCGACTGCCATAGTCAACCCGCCAGCACCAGCGCCTTTGGTAATGATGGTGAACTGGCTGGGCTCCCCGCTGACACCGCTCACCAGACCAGAACCGTACGCGGTCACATAGCCAGAGGAGATGGAATCCACTGTGAACTTATACGGTGACCCTAAAAAAAACAGTATATACAGAAGTGTTCAATAATCTCTATATAAATATATTCCCCGTATCACAGTGTTAGTTCATACTCATTAAAAGAAATGTTTGTACTGGGCGCGGAATTGAACCCGCGGCTATCGGAATTAAGGCGTTGTGCTTCGCTACGCTAAATTACCGAGGCCATGAATAGAGAAAGACTTACTTACAATAATAAAAATATTTTGAGTTTTATTCGTCCACGTTTGTTCACTAAACGAATAAATAAATGTAACATAAAGATAGACTGTATGACATGAATGAACATATTCTATTAATTCAAATTGACGACCTCGGTGGTCTAGCGGTTTAGCACACCGCCTTACGCCGATGGTCACAGGTTCGATTCCTCGCATGGTACAAACGTATTCATGAGTATGATTGTTTGTATCTTTCTGGGTGTTTTCTAAATATAATGTGTATGTATTTACGAAAAAAAATATCTATGTATCTGTATCAGTTATCTAGTACCCATAACACAAGCTAGATATCGTTGTTTGAGTTGATTGTCCTAAGATTATTATATTATATTATATTTAAATAGTATAAAATGAAATCGCTTCCGCTGTCTGTTCGCTTAGATCTTTTAAAGTACGAAACGGATTTTAATGCAGTTTTTAGCAATAGACAGAGTGATTCCAGAAAAAGGATGATAAAATAGATAGAGCAGATAATACATGTACATCCGTGCGAAACCAAGGCGAGTAGCTAGACTGTCATAAACTTAAAAATTTGGGCGAGATGTTATATACATGACACTAAGAAATAACGGTAACCATTTACCATCAGATGGGCCGTATGCTTGATTGTCATGATCGCAGTATAAAAAAAGAACGGTACTTGCTTTTGCTGAAAGAATTTTTAAAATCATTTCAGTAGATTCAGAGATTACCTCCAACAATCTCTGAATTATTTTTTTACTCTTTATAATATGCCTATAGAATTATCTTATCTATGATTTGGATATCTTATTAATATTATAAACGAGAAATTTTGTTAGTATGGATAGTATGGATGTTTGTCACGCAAAAACTACTGAACGGATTTTGACGAAACTTTACAGTAGTACTGCTTATACATTAGAATAACACATACAGACACGGATCTGTCTAGTTAATGCCTTTAATATCTAAACGACGTAATAAATTCTTAAACAAATTTAAAGTGAAAAAAAAAAACGGTATCCTGGACATAGGCTATTATCATTACATAGTATAAAACAAAGTCGCTATCGCTGTCTGTCCGTCCCTATGTATGCTTAAATCTTAAAAACTACGCAACGTATTTTGAAACGGTTTTTTAATAGACAGAGTAATTTACGAAGAAAGTTTCATGTATATAACATGTACATCCGTGCGAAGTCGGGGCGAGTAGATACTTTAAACTAAAAAAGGAAGACGAAGCCGGGGTATCATCTACTATATATATAAACACTCGTACTATGTACTAATTATTCTGTCAGTAATGTCATGTTTCTAATTACCCCCTGTTGTGATCATTAGAAATATAGTGCAATAAGAAGGCACTTCCAGCAGACTTGTATAAAAAAAATGTCAAGAATGGTAGACGTTTGGTCTTGATTAAAAATTCTTCATTGGAAAACTATTTGTATGGTAGAAGTTTGTTATTTCTTCAAGGAAGGGATTTCCGTATTTTTTTAGGCCACTATTGATTCTTGTGGAACGCAGCCTCGGTGATCTAGCGGTTGCTTGCTTTAATTCCGATGGTCGCAAGTTCGATGCTTCGGTAGGTACAATTGTATTTATGAGTATGAATTTTTGTAGCTGTCTGGGTATTATATACTTATAATATGATTTATTTCCAAAATATGTGTTTTTATTTGTACTATGTAAAACGATCTTAGGACAATTAAAAAAAACTGTTATGGGTACTAGAGAAATACATATTTATACTTAAATACATATTTTTAAATCCATACATAATATATATAGGAAAAACCTAACATTTGTTTGTACTGTACGATGTATGTATAAATCTTTAAACTACGCAACGGATTTTAATAGATGTTATATAAAATTCTCGTGTCACAGATTTCCGCGTTTATACTTTTCCGAAACGGCTTGACCGATTTTGATGAAATTTTATATGTATATTCCGTAGGTTCGAGATTAGGTTTATAATTAATTTTTTTCATTTTTTCGACAAAATATTTTTATTTTTTATTATGTGCCATTTCACCCTTTTATCACCAACCCTTATTTTTTAAAGAGTTATTGATTTTTTATGGCAAAACAACGTATGCCGTGACAGCTGGTTATGGTATAAAAATATAAAAAAACTTACCCTGGACATGTTCCCCGTTATACTTGACGTAGAGCTCATGAATGCCCTCCTCCCTCGGTTCGTACTTGATGCTGACGGTTCCATCTCTATTGTCTTCAATGACAGGCTGGTCTACGTGGCCGCTCGGCATCTTTATTTCAGCTGAAACGAAAGAAATCCCAAGTTAGTAAATAAATAGCGAACCGACCCGGTTTCGCACGGGTATATTAAGTGATTTATAGAAAAACTAAATGAATTATATACCTAAGTCTTTCTTAGGAACTACTCTATTTGTGTGTAGATGTATTTTTTTTCTGATAAGATAATCAACAAAATAAGTGTTACCAAATAGAAAAAATCCCTACATAGAAAACTAAACATAACCTAACTTCTCCGATAAAAAATTTCCTATAAAATTAAACTAAATAGTGACTGAATTATGTAATACTAGTTGCGCCCGCGGATTCATCCGCGTTACATTTAAATATATAAATTTCAATAAAAATGAATATACGTGTTATTCTGATGCATAAGCTATTACTGTGAAGTTTCATCAAAATCCGTTCAGTCATTTTAGCGTGAAAGAATAACAAACATCCATACTTACAAACTTTCGAGTATAATATTATTAAGATTTTAGTACAGTTTTCTTACTTGTGTTTAGTTAAAGTTTTTATTTTAATCATGTTTTATCTAGAATACGTTTCTCGCGGCAGAATATGAAAATACACTGAGCATTGCTTTACAAGTACAACTTATATCAAGTACTAACATTAAAAAAAACTCTATTTACTCTAGATTGGTTTTACAAATATCGTATTTATTGTATAAATTCAACATTAATTTATAATATATTGTTAGTATATATTTCTTTTTAACAATTTCATTGTTTATGTTTCTTATGGATTCTCAACAATGATTACTAAATAACAATTCACCAGTATTCCACATATAGATGGTTAGTATTGAACACTATTAGAGCAATTGCTAGAGCTTGCGGTTCACCTCCATGTGGTATCCTTGGAAACTAAGCTAACTGACATGATATCATCCTCCACTGGAGCCCCGCCAGCTTATACCCTTAGCTTAGGCGAGTGCACCATTCCAACATCTCTATTACAAAAATAAGACAGCGCCAAGATCCAAATTCGCCAGAACTCCGATGAAGCCATAAATTAAAAAAAAATAAATATAATTCTTTTTTTAAATATATAGTTTATATCAAACAAACCTTTCCTAGTATCAATATGGTATACGGTGATGAAATTCAAAGGTGTATAGTTCAACCCGAAGCCGGTTTTATTGAAGCTAATATCGTGCGCTTCGCCAAAAACTATCGGTATTTCCTCCTTATCGATCTCGGAAACTGAGAAGTACTTCCTCAAGTCCAGATAGAAGTCTGCCACTTCGTCCCAAGAGACCTCCTTCTCGTTGCCCCCAACGATTGAATTCCACAGATCACTCATAAACGCCATTTAACAAACTTCTTGAAGCACTATACAATTAGAGTGTGTTTTTGTGTGCAGTGTGTTTAAAGTTATGACATTTTTCGTCTGTGTTTTAATATGTTTGGCTACTAAAGAGAAGTTTGATATTCACTTCAAAATTATTATTCTTTAATTTACTATTTTTAATAGACCAAAATGGCGAAATCTTGGTTCTGCACTACGGCGCTTTGTTTAATTTATTAATTTATTGTTCCTTTAGGATCATTTAAAAGAGCAACACATAAGTTTCTTGCTCGTTCTTCTTGCGATGAGACAGCTATCCGAACAAGCGGTAGATAAAAAAAAATGTATGACTATTCAAAAGTGCTTAAATTAAGTTTATTTGAATAAAAGATTTTCTATTCTATTCTTTTAAAGTCACTTTAAATAGATTTTATATTTAAAATGACCTTAAAAGAAAAGTCATTATTTAATAAAGTTTAGAAATAACACAATAGTTTTCTAAGAATATTATATGATATCTCTATCATATAATATTTAAATTAGAAAATATAAATAAGTTTACTTTCCTTTTGCAATTAATTCTTTCTATATATACCTACTTACGTAATGATGAAATAAAATAAAATACTTTTAAATAATAAACGAAAATTATAATACACATTTTATAGCATAAGTTCATTATATTATTTATTTCATTATTATACTTGATCATATAATATTGATTTCGTTTTCTATTCTACGGTATACCTATTTTAAAAATATATTTTTAGTTAATAAAATACGTATCTATTTAAAAATATTTTAAGTAATATATAATTGAAATGTATAATTTTTTAAAACTTCATCCGTGAAATGCTTTCAGCCTTAGTTTCCAGATTAATCAGCACATCAGTGAGGTTTAATATATAAAAACTGGTATGTTTATATTTCATATCGTCTACTGTCACGTCCAATTTATATGTCCGGGTGTTCTGGAGCTATGTTAGCAAGCCGTGTGTAAATATGTCAACAACGGTTAAATTATCTGGACACGTGTGTTATTCCGTCAGCCACCGGGTCCTTCCAAGTATATAAGTACTATATCCCACTAGTTTTGACAGCCACTGTGGTCTATAGTCTGTTTTTTAATCCCGGAGACTAAATTGACAGGTGTAAATATATTTTTTTTAAATAATGGTAGGGTTACCTGTGATACCGATTAGTTTAATTGGAAATTTTTATTTTATAATAATATAATAGTTTTAAAGCTTTTAAAGCATTTCCGCAATAGTTTTCAACATAATTTCAATAGTGTTTTGCAGTACTGTCGTTGTATTATACAAAACAAATATACATTTTTGTGGTTTCCCGTACATATAGTATTTTTTACAGTATTAAGCTACATTTTTTTCTTTCAAACAGCTAAATATTTAAAATAATTTGTTTTATAAAAAAGCCAGTTAGTATTTGTTTTAGTGAAAAATAATAAATCTATTTTAATACAGCAACCCTAAAATTATTAATAGCTATACTTTATTAATTTTGAGATAATGCGTTTTAAACAAACATTAACACATTATTTCTAAGTAACCTATAAAAATGGGTAATTAATATTAATTTCTGATAGTACCATATATACCCTATTTAAAATTTGTAAAAACCTGGTAACATTGATAATGTCAAATTTGTATATTAAAAAATAGACTATTACAGGTTACACTGCTACTATTCCCATTTTCATTTTGTATATTTAATATACATACATATATACAACTCATCTAATAAAACAAAGGTGAAGATTTGTTGGTTTCAAGACGTTAATCTTCCGAAAATACCAGTCAGGTTAGAATAGACCCTTATATATATTTTTTTGTATATGATAATGAAATGGTGCACCCGCTTGCGCTAACGGTTTACGCTGGCGGGGCACCAGTGGAAGATGATAAGATGAGAATGGAACCGCGTGGAGGTTAACCTGATATGGTACATTGCTAGCAATGGGGTCGAGAGTCCACATTACTAACAATCCCTTTCCCCCCCCACCCTTTTACATTGGAAAGTCTAATCCTTGTGGAGGGGGATGAAGGGTTGTTAGTAACGGGAACTAGTAACCCCCATTGCTAGCCTGGTAATGTACCAGGTTAGTTGACCTAACCTGGTACATTACCAGGTTAGGTCGACTTCCACGAGTTTACTCCTGGAAACATGTGATAAATTCCTAGTGAATTTGTTACGATAGGCCAACTGATCTGATCTCATATCATCTTATCATCCTCCACTACCCCTCCAGCGTAAACCGATAGAGCAGGCAGGTGCACCATTCAATTATCATCCCCCAAAAAATCATAGAGAAATGTGACACGCTAACATCACGCTATGATACTTAGGAGTCAGTAAAATGGGGAAAGTTAACAGAAACGCTAAACCCTGGCAACCTTGCGATATATAAAGAGTATTGTTGGCCAAATATTATATTATAATATATATTTTGATATATATGTATGTGGAATTAGTCAGTATAAATATTATAATATATACATATGTATGCGGAATTGAAAAATAAACTTTAAAAAATTGGCATCGCCGTGACTTTTATGTTATAAAAAAATATATTGAAAATGTAGTGTAGTGACACATTTATTTTAACCTTTAACCGACGAAACGTTAACAGGCAGATGTCGTCAACAGTTTAAAGTTTTTATATACAATTTAACGGGTTGTAAATATATTTATTTAATAGTTCGGACACGACGCGGTGTAAATTTTTTAATCTATCCGCAATATTACTAATAATGTGACGTTAATATTTATATTTTTCCATAATTCAATCATTCTCGAAATGAATGGGAGATATTATCGTCATTATTAGGGTTCCTAATAAAAAATATTTTGGGTGTAGGCAACATTATATTTATAAACTAGCTATGCCAGCGGTAGGATTCCTAGTAGAACATATTTTGTGTATAAGCAACACTATATTTATGTTAAACTAGTTCTCTGGGATTCACCCGCGGGAAATTTATAGCCTATCGACATTCTTTTTGAGATATCAGTAAAAAGTCTCCACAAACAATATGTCACTTATGATACGTTTGACGTGTCTATGTGTCTGTCTATGGTATCGTAGTTCCTAAATTAATAAAACGATTATGATGCGTTTTTTATAAGCATAAATCAATTATTAAAATAAAAATTCAATTAGCTATTCAATCGTAGCTAAAAACCATCTCTATCGCCAAGTTATTGATTGGTAATTTAGGAAAGGTTTTTTATTCAGATTCTATTAACATATTTATTCTAAATCAAGGATATAATTCTTGCAGTTATGTCATATTTAGACCATGCACAGGTAACTCAATAAAATTAAAAATAAATTATAATCATGATGAAAGAAGTGACAAACCTCGAAAGTAACAAGAGCTCTACCAACAAGAGCCTGGCTCTTAAATCTACTTAATATATAATTATTGAATGAATAATATTTAGAAAAATATATTATTTGTATAGAACCCTCAACGGTCAAGTGTGACTCGCAATTTGCTAGTTATATTTATGTAAAACCGGTAAAACTTTTCCACGCGGACATCAAATGGAACCGGTTTAAATAAATGTGGATGTTCTGTCCTGATGTTCTTGAATTTTGCGTGATTAATGTGTCGGTGCGTTGTCCAAAATATAGATCACAATTTCTTTCTCGTGCAATAAATCTTGCATTATTTTAAAACATCTTGACTGTTTATATAAATATATGAAATTGTAGACGCAACCGCGTAAGTGTCGTATACATCACACGCCATCCTATTACATATATTTGTAATGTCATTTGGATTTTATTCTCTCCATTTAGCTTCTCATCTGGACCGTTGTGCGTGTAGAGCCGAGACTCAAGTACCCAATCATACAGCCCATGTGGTAAACGGCTACCGTAGCCTATGGACGCCTGAAACATCAGGGGTGCTGCCGACCCGTAAGAAACTGTAATATAATTCTTGAGTATATGTAATATCTCACATATCTTTATATACAAAAATTACATGTCACGTTGTTTATCCGCGATGGACTAAACTACTGAACCGATTATAAATTTGATTTGCATTGTGCGCAATTTGATCCAACTTGAAAGATAGGATAGCTTACATCTCAATTTATAGTCGCAATATTATTTAAACTGAGGCTAACCTCAGCAACGAGTGGCCTGGTCTGATAGTAATGTTATAAAACTTATAACCACAAGATCGTGAACCATATAAATCCTCTACCAGGGGGCAAGGGGATTGCTAGTAATGTGGTCTCATGACGCCATTGCTAGCAATGTACCATGTCAGGTTGACCTCCACGCGGTTCCTCCTGGAAACCATCGTTATAGATTCCTGGTGAATTTGTCACGATGGGCTGACCTGACTTCATGTTCATCTTATCATCCTCCACTGGTGCCCCGCCAGCGTAAACCATTAGCGCAGGCGGGTGCTCCATTCCATTATCATCCATAAAAAAAATTCTCTACCAAAAGCGTATCATTATATAAAAGTTTTCATTAATTTGTGTGTTTTCATTACTATTCTCGTTCAATAAACATGTATATTGGAGATGTGGACCGTTTTCTGACGCATAATTTAAAATATTAATGTAGTTATCAGTTATTGTAAATAACACGTTATTTGTGTAGGAACTGTTCCAACATAATTATGGTATGTCAATCAAACACCAAATGTTGACGATGCCCTACATTCATTACTAGTTGTGTACTGCGACATCATACGACCTTGGTGGTATAGCAGTTTAGCACATCACTTTGCGATGGATGATTTCGGATGGTCGGCAGTTCGATTTTTTGCACAGTGCAAACATATGTATTCATGAGTATGATTGTTTTTATCGATCTGTGAATCGTCTATGTATATTATGTATGTATTTAAAAAAAATGGATTGAACATTTATTGAACATAAGCTCTGCTTAGCTTGGGACTCGATGGCGCTGTGTGAATTATCCCAGGTTATAAACTAGTAGAGAGCACACACATGACACTTCTGGTATCTCAGGCATTTATAGGTTACGGTACTTAAT